TGTTCGAGCTGTGGTTGTTCGAGCTGTGGTTGTTCGAGCTGTGGTTGTTCGAGCTTTGATTATTCGAGCTTGAGTGGTTCGAGCTTTCGTTATTGGAACTGCGATGTGAGGTTAACACATATGTGCGATCACAGTTTCTATACTGCAAGCCGATTACCTCTGCTCCGAGTTGTGAATGTTCTGACGGTTCATTATGCCGTGTGGTTCGCAGTTGTGATTGCTTGTTTAATTGGGGGTCACTAAATGCTCGCTCGGCAAACACGCGGCTCATACGAAGGCGTGGCAGACTCGAATACAGAATCAGACTCAAAGGGAAGGCGATAAAATCTGGCCTCTATTTTGATGCGAGACAGTGGTGCACGGAGTCAGGGTTGGTCGGCGGACGTGTCTAAGCGAGAATCGTTGCTGCAGTTATGTCAGTACATCTGGCGTGCAGACGTCGCTGGTGGACACAAGCGAATCTTATACGTCCTAGGGGTATCACAAGGTGGTTAACGAGGAAAAGATCGTTCCCCACTCTTAAGGTTCTATGGGTATGAAGGTAGGAAATGGTAACTCAAAAGGAAAAGCAACCAAAATGTGAAAGGAGAAAAAGAATTCTTTTCAGATTGAATCACGCCACAGCATCATCTAAGTGATTTGCTCGACACCGTCTTGAGGTGCCATAAGCCTCCAAGAACTCAGCACGGCGATAAGAGCCAGTTGTGTCTCCTCTCTGTCTAGGTGGCTAAAAATACGCCCATCGCCAGTGGTCCATCCAGCTGACCAAATGCGGGTGCTCAACGATTTGTTTCGATTTGACGGCCCAAACCACCCTGCATGCCACTCCAAGTTTCGGCAGTACCCTACTAGGAAGGACGGGGCAAAGGGCTAGAAAAGAGCCAGCCAGTAGTCTGGGATGCCCTCGGCAGCACTGGGGGAGACAATGAGAAAAGAGCGATGATTTAAACCTATGATTAGTTGGGACTATAGGGGCCTCGGAGAAAACTGCCAGCCAATCTCATGACTTGTTTTTCGTCTCCGCCACCGATTCTCGGGAAGCACCCTCGCTCACCCGGCGCATCATAACGGATCTATGGCTTAAAAGCTGGAACCCACCCTTTTTGCCTTTTGGTCAGTATCGCTGAGCGTGTATTTTCCTTCTGATTCACCGAACCATGATCGAGTTGCACAGTTAGGAAAAGACTTACGGGATCAGCGACTCGCGCATGACCTCCCGTCACCCACTTGTCCTAACCATGGGTAGGCAATGATCAGACATGGTCCAAGCTAATCAAATGCCTCGAGCGTCTACAGGATAGACGTTTCTACATGAAGATGGTTGCTTTTTTCTTCATTCTCTTCCTCAGTGAGGCCTTGGCGCGAATTTGCAAGCACTCCTTTTTGCCTGCTCGATGAACGAACAGGCCGCGTGTCCCATGGAAACAAACCAGTCCCATCGAGTTCGTGCCATACTGATCACCATCACTCCGCTCGAAGGGTCCCATATAGCCTGCTCGTCAGAGAAGCCAAAGGCAAAGCCGCGTCCGAACCCTACGCAGCCTGGTTGAAAATAAGTGCCACCTCGAATCTTGTCCGACTTGATGCCGCGATTCTGTTTCGAAAAAAGTGCAAACTTCAGATTGCGGAGACTACGACTGCATAAATTCGGCAACCGCCACGCTTCCCATCCAGAGCGCGTGACGGTCTCGAATGACACAAGCCTATCTCAACCACTTTAAAGCTAGTCATCATAGTGACGATACCACCCGTATAACGCTGGGCTTGGGGTGTGAAAAGAGACGGGATATGCCATCTGATACTTGTATGCCGGTTTGGAGTTCCCCTGTGTCACCATAGCCATGTAAAAAGTCGTGTTCTTGCTGACTCAAATCGCACCGGCCTCCAAGATACATCTCGTTTTTATTCCGTCCGATTTTCGCCACTTCTCATTCAGTGACCGAGTCGCATGTTTTGGTCTGATGTGTGGTTAGTATTTGTCCGATCGCTTTCGTTCATTAAAGGCGAAACTTGCAGTGGTCAAGCATACATACTGATGTTGTCGTTCAAAGCCTCCGTTACTGTGTCCGTTGCCTCCAGTATTTTGCTGTGTTCGTGATTAGATAACGGCGGCCTAGGTTGGACTATCCTCGCCTCCAAGGGAGGTCCTAAACGACTAGCTGTGATCTGCTCGGCATACGCTCAATAATCTGAGTATCAAGCGAATTTGCAGAATTCGTGGCAGTTGTTAGACCCCTCTAAATAGATAGATAGGCTTTATCCGTCTAGAGTCTATCGACCTCGAAAACTATCAGAATAATTGCCTCGAGCATATAAGATACCAGTGTTCTGTTGCAGAATAGAATAATTTGGAAATGCACCTGGCTGGGAGCCTGACCTTCGCAAGCTATCTGCAAAGTGCTCAAGAGGTATTGTCTGCGGCTTTCCACGTGATTCATCACCATCGCAGTTTTCTGGTTGCATTGGTGGCTTGGGATACGTTGGAGTATTGCAAGTTGATGCCGTCGCTTCCCGTCTGTGACCAAGGTGTTTATTGCAACAAGGAACCGAGGATTTCGACCACGTCATTATCCAACGGTCTAGGGGCAGTCATAATCATGGTGGCAGTCAAGGCATAAATATAGCGCCCTTCAACCCCCCCTCCAAAGCACGTTTCTTGGTTCCCCATGGACTTATGCCATATACTCGCGTCCCGAAGTTGGTTTTGACTCACCGGTATATGGACAATAAGCAGTCGGCGAGGTTTGAATAACTAAACATGGGTATATTTCCCCCCCCTCACCACTTGGAGGGAAAGGGAAGTATGCATGGAGAAAACCAGGACAGAAGCATCTAGCAACTCGGTGCTGAGTGGCACCAATCGGAGTCTTCCTTAGCAAGGAAATATTATCCCGGTGATTTCATTGGAACTCCACTTGACGCTCTCCCATGTGCTCACTCAGGGGAACCTTGGATTATGTAACTCTAAGTCACCTAACTACTTGAGAACTTGATCGCAGGTCAAGATTCTGGGCAACCTGATCAGGTGATTTGGTAACTATCAGGCCTGTGGCTGGCGCCCGCAGGGCTGCAGCATGAAGTCAGTGGCCCGGCAGTACAGAAACAACTGGGCCATCTCATGGCGGTGGTTACCTATTAAAGGCCACATTCAATTTAGCTGGCTGGTGGTTCAGGGGAAAGGGACCATCAGAATGTCTGCATCAAAGCCAACATTGCTGGAGGAAACGCTACCCCTGAACTTAGAAAATGTGACGGAGTTTCAGCGTCAATGGCGAGACGGAGTGTTAGATATCCATCGTTCGGAGGATTTTGCAATTTCGTTCAAGGAACGCCTTGGTTCGCCGCAGTCAGCGGATCTAACATCATGGGACAATGCACGCAACGCTCATCATAGTCGACCAAGAGACGTACTATGATGGGGTTGTAGTGCAACACTGCTCTTACATCTGGTTTAAGCATCGAGTTGGACGGGGAATTTGTGTATCGTCCTGTGACGAGGAAGAGCCAAAGTAATATATGTTATACCTGCCTACATCTACTGATTTGCCATGTTTATGTTCAGCGACGTTATGGCGGCAGCATAGCTATATGCCAAAGCTCGTTCGGGAGCATGTCCTTCCAAGCAATTCTGAAAGGTGTCAGCCATCCGCTCGCTTGGAAATTATATCCGGCCGCAGTGGCGTTTTTGAGTGGCATTCGGCCGGCATCTGCCACTCGGCTTTGTTTTGGCTGCGATGAATATCACTTCACTTTTCAAGTATGACAAAAATGTATTTCTCTCTCGCCTTCGTCTGCCATTAATAGACGGCTCTTCGGAAGCATCCAGCGTACTGTCAGTGAGTGTGATGTTTACTAATTGCAACTGCCTACCCGACTCCCTCGGCACTCATAACGTGGGCGCGCTACGGTCAGATTTAACACCTATTGAGCATAGCGTTTGCAACCTTACGCCAAGGCCTTCCTGCATGGCTTAAATCATTGATTCACCGCACTCCTTGTGGTGTACAGAGTAAAGCCGGGGAAGAATTCAATCACCAAAAGTAACCTAGTGAATATGTCAATCCCAACACGAGGTTCTACCATGGAAACCATTATTCTCAAGGCGGTTAACAATATCTCGACAGGATTTACGACCTGGCATTATGACCGCGAAGTTAACTGAGGGTGTATGAATCTGCCAGGGAAAGAAAACCCAAAGGGGACCAGCTTCAAAGCGACTCATTAGCCGCGTTTTTTTTCTCAAACTAGAAGTTAGTTAGACTATGAACAAGTATTAATACCCCGTCCTGTTAAACTGTAAATTGTTCGGTATAGATAGAGATACACATTGAAAACCCTACATCAAACACTGGGGTTAGCAAGCAAGGAGCGACAACAGGGCAGAGCTAAACCGACCATCAATATTATTTCCCACCCAATATCTCCTGTGTCAGTCTCTCAAGGCGTGGGCTTTGCTTACACATAAACGTCCCGTCTGACACGCCCTTGACAGGGTCTCCCTTATGCTCATGTCTCGTCCACCTAAACCAATGGACTGCGCCCAGTTTCATATAAACAACAATCGTTTCCCTTATCCCTGTCAATCCCTACTTAGAATCCCTCAGTAGACACTGGTTACAGCATTACAATACCATTCATTCATAATTCATAACCTCGACCTGATCGTCCCTACATACATCAACTGTATGTTACTTCAAAGAGTACAGAGAGTGGGCAGTTCGAAATCATAGTACTTTTATCCCAAGACTCCGAAGAGTGAAAGAAAAACAGTAAACCAGAAAAAAAAAAAAAAAGAAAAAGAAAAGAAAAGGGAGCATGTTTGTTTATTATCCACATACCTCGAACACGCTCAAATGCCAGACACAACATCCCGTTCACGCGCAGTCTCAAACATTCCTCACGCCAACCCTGTTGATACACGAATGAAACCTCCATCAACCCCATAAACCTCCCCATTCCCTCCCCATCCAAGGCCGACCTAGCAAGGTTCCCTCCCCTCCCCCCTTGCATATCACCACAAAAGAGATATGCGTGCTTCTTCCAAAGCATGCATCGCACTTACCTGCCAGTAGTTAAAGTATCCTACACATCCTCACGCATATAAAATATCTCCTCCTTATATCTATAACTACCTTCTTAAGAGCCTAATTGAACATACACGCAACCTTATCCACACCACCTCTACAGAAGAAAAAAAGAGGGCGTAAATGCCTAAGAAAGCAACCAAAGAACAAAAGAGAAAATACCTACCCAGATCAATCAACATTAATCCCAATATGAAGTTCAGCAGCCGTCTCTCTGCGCGCTACATCTCTACACTCTGCCTTTTTGTCACAGGCATTTACGGCCAATTCGCCGAAAGACCCAATGCAATCGATACGGGGAATACTGTTTGTATAGGAGCTTGCGTGACGAGCTTACATGAATTGAGATGCGAGACTCCTTCCGTGCCCTTGGTATGTGAACACCCCTTTTATTTTTATTTTATTTATCTTTTTTTTTTTTTTTTTTTCTATATGATGTTTCTCCTGTTTAAGGTGGCAGATAGAGAGCATGGACGCTAATTGGTTTGGTTGTATATAGTACCGACCAGGGAAAGAGTGCTTCGCTTGCTGTATTTCGGATGACCATGCGGATGATTGGGCGGATCACATCAAGTGGGGAGATGAGGAGGAACATCCAGAGGAGAAGTCGAGATCGGGTCACTGATTTGACTCGGTTGGTTTTGGGGGGAGACTACATGGGTGTTTGTGTGTGATGGATTGGGCTTCAAAATTGTTACCCTTTTTTTTTTTTTTTCCGTTCTTTTGGTTATAGGAACATTGCTGATATCAAGTTCGGGGGTTCGAGGAATTGTCATTCAGGGAATGATTGTGATGAATACAGTTGCATGTTAAGACTTTGCATATTGAGGAATATTAAGGGATTAATAGATGATATTTAATTTTCCTTTTCCTTGTTGAGAATATATATTTGATGTTCTTGGTGTTTACTAACACTAACCATCGTCATAAGAGGTATCTTATATGTGAATCCTATACGACATAACCTCCTTCTGGACATCTGAATAGAGAGGAGGTATGTTGATTTGAAAGTAAAATCATTTCAATTGGTGTGGTACGTAGTACATCACATATACTGCATTGTATGCACGGCTTATCAGGACGTGGTAACCCTAACATAACCCTATCTACATGTATACTCTGTAGAACAAGGACAGTACAATGAGTTCATGGATACAAAAATTGGTACTAGATCATCTGCGGCTAACAATACATATAAAAGGCTCTCTTTATTGGTCCCAGTCCAACCTTTATCAAGCCACTCCTTGTTTGGTTCTGCAGCCGACATCAAGAGGTATTGATAGGGCCCACGGTATAGTAGCCATATGGATCTTGAATGGAACGAGGCTTGGCCTTAATTTTTAGCACCCAAGATTAAGCGCATGATTTGCAAAGCATCACCCGAGTGGGTCTAATTATAGTCTATTTGCCTCTCCTCTCTCTCTCCTCTCTCTCTCTTTTTTTTTTCTTTTCCCGCTTTTCTCTTTTGCGCTTGAAGGCGTATGCAATCATGTCAAAAGCAAGCGGAAATTTTAGTACATGCTTATCAGCCACACTGCATGAAAATTTATTTTTGCTATACTCTATCTATGTAGCCTATTCGCCCAATGCTTGTCTTAGCCTGCGCTATTAACATCTATTCCGTGTGATTCGCTGAATCCTGAATGCAAAGATAAAACTACCATGTCCATCATCGTCCGTAACGTCATATTCCTCGCTTGGTTGGAGATCCCGTTGACTCCTTGAAAAGCATACGCAAGTCTTAACCCAAAAGAAAGATAACTATAATCCAACTATTCCCATAACACCTAGATTCACGCGCCTTACAATGACAATAACGTCACTTAAGCCCCATTGAAGACAGCAGCAATCCAGCAGCCCACAGGGATTCTTATTGCGGGCGTACAGGCGTGTGGAGGGGCACGCTACCTGAGATCCTGACGGTTGCGGGGCACTTGTCATTGTGGTCCCCCCAAAGCCCGCTGCTTGCTGGGAAAATGGATCCCCTATTCATGTCGACAGTAGAGTCCCCAACACGAACCCCCATGTGAGGGACAACTAACTCAACGCCCTTCGCGCCATTAGCACTGCCCGAGAAGTAGGATTTGCGGCGCGGAGGCAATGGACGATGGGCCAGCTCGTTCAGGTAGCTGTCAGAAGCATTGCTGCTGAAAGAAGACGCCGCAGTAGATGGGGTATGTGTCAGCGATGGAGGAGCACCTGTACTACCCAACAGCGTGAACAAACTGGCTGAGCTGCGGTGTTCCACCCTGGGACGGCGCATCGGGACGGGGGCAGAACCGCTATGGAATTGGGACAGATACTGCCAGGCTTCCGATGAAGCCGGCGAGGCCGAACCATTGGTACCCATGGGTATTACCGGCTTCCATTCGGACGGATCCTGATCCGTCTTGGAGTCGTGGAACTCACCCAGTATCCGGGTGACCTGAGTCGATGTGATAGGAGCTTTGGTGGGAGTCATAGGTGGTACAATGGTTCGGGGAGACATAGGAGGAGAAGATGGGGGAGTGGTGGAAGATGGCATGGTGTGATTCGATGTGAAGGAAGCTGAGAGTGGTTTATGGGAGTCCTTGCGACGGCAACTAAAGAGGAAGTGTGAGCAGAGAGCTTGTTTAAGTAAATCGGAGCAGGGGATAGATTAGGGGGGGAGTCCTTCGGGATATAAACAGAAGACAAGGGGGCTGTGCCAGGGTAGAAGAAGATAATATCATGATAAGGTGAGAAACATACCTTTCACTGCAATAAAGGCGAGAATTGTCCGGTACAGTAATCTGTCTCTCGCACATGGCACTGCAGAAATGGGTTAGCTTCGATTCCAGATAAGCCAAAGCTTCCAGAATGCAAGGGGAGAGCTGGGTGGTAAAAGCCAAGGAAAAAGGAATCATGAGCTCATCGACGGATTAGAGATCAACTAGACATACCAAAAATTGAGAAAACTGGCCGCCATCTCGGATTGACAATCGTTATCTGATTCACTATGCCTGGTGTGTCCTGCACCCAGCTTCGAGATGGAGTGATTCACAAAGGATGTGCCTTTCCGATGTAGTGCCGGCCGGACTGTTCTCAGCTTCGAGGCACACGAACCGGAAGGAGAACGTCGATGGTGAAAAGAAAAGTTGCCTTGAGTCATGGATGGCGGTGAGAAATTTACGTATAAATATATTATGGACCACAGATATATCTGGAATAGTTCGACAATGGGTACCTTGCGCCAAAGGACGCCGGGTCCAGCGGTGGAGCACTAAGTCTCCCCTGAGGGCAACAAAGTATGAGGGATTTGCGGCTAGCAGGGGGGCGATTGAGTAACTCGTTGGAACAACTGTCTCAGACCGCCGTTGTATTGCCAAAGTAATATTTTCCCAGTTGATCTCGTTATTTTTTTTTTTTTTTTAATTCTCTCTTCTGGAAGATGATGTGCGATGGCGAGTCAATCAGACAGGAGGAATGCTGAGGGAGTACAAGATCTGAGCGATTAATATTGTGACCAGCCCAGTTAGCAATGAGGCAAATATTCACCCAAATTCTTCGGTCCGTATAATCAGCGATAAGCTTTCCTGGGACTTTTATCTGCGGTGGCGCATTAAATAGTCAGATAGGTCATAACCCGAATGAAACGGTAATACACGGGGGTTGATGGTTGTTATCATGAGTCTCTGAGTGGGGAGAGATAAGAAAAAAGAATGAAAGCGAATAGATAGATAAGTATCTAACAGCGATAGGTAACATACCTCGGAATCTCTTTTCTTGGGAATTTGATGTTTCCTTTGTTATTTTTCCCCCTGGTTTCTGTTCGTTTTGTTTCTAGTATCTTTGAAATGTCTTGATTCTTTCTTTTGATCGAATGTTTTGTCGAAAGGCACGTGCAAATGAAATAATTTTGGGAGTACTAATGATCCGTAGTACGACGATGCGGCATTAAAATGATATATGTCAAGCTGCAGCCGAGGAAAATCACTCGGGGGATAAGCACCAACAGGGCTGGTATGAGAAAGGGATGCCGAAGGAAGAACTCGTCGACCCACGGGTATAAGTAAAGAGTGATGCGGATGCGTATATATGGATCAGAGATAAAAATAAACCCAAATATCCGGCGATGGCGGTTATGTACTCCGTTCAAATAGCCGGAGCACGAGAAGAGAACAGAAAAAGAGAGACATGGGATAATATAATTGGAAAGGGGAATAGGCGGAATTCTAGAACTTGGGGTTTCCACCTGTGAAGAAAAGCCGGAATTAGCGCTGAATCATTGGGTCCATTAGAATGATCTGCTTTCCATTGAAACAGTGGAGTTTAGACTCAGTACAAAGCGGAAGGGGACCCCAGAGGAGCTGACGTGACCCGAGCACGTCACAGCGAAAAGGGAAGAGTCACGCCATTTGGGGAAAGGTCTAGACTGCCTGGCATGCCTGAGGCAGAACCTCCAAACGCGCAATCATTCCATGAAAACGACATAAATGTAACAATAACCACTGCTTACCTCACCACTGATGTTCCACCTTAATTCATTGACACAAGGTTGTAGTACTATGTATAGTAGGTAGGAGGAAGGGGGATGCCCACTGTGTCTAGGTTTCCTATAAATAGGTGGAGTGTGTCTCTGTATCGGGTGGAGAAGAAGCTTGAGAAGTTGAACCTAAAAGGAAAGTGACACTCTACAGTATGCCCATACAATTCTGTGGTCCTTTCTGCCTAGTTTTATATGACCCAGGGGAGGGGTTCGATTAAAACGCAATCAGGAAAAGAATTTGATGGTCTGTCTATAGCCCCGATAACAAAGTCCATCGGCTTAGTGAGAATCCCCTCCCCTCTCCTCCTATCCTTGCTACATCACAACTAAACCGTCCCCGTCATTTTGTCCACGATTCCAGTAGGGGATGTGATGATATTTTTCTTTTTTCCTTAACCGACCGAAGCACGCTTTTCAGATTAAGGAGGACATCAAAGGTCCAATCATGTCACTCACGTTCGGCTGGCCTGTTGCTTGGCCTTGATGCGTATTTGACGCGGGGCCACCACTCTGTACTTCGGGCATCCATGAGTGATTCCATCACGATCAAGGTCCGTCTCTTGACCCTCAGCTACGAACAACACCCAGCTGGGCCCACTCCACCTGTTCTAGCCAAGTCAGACAGACTGAGGCAAAAAAGGCATTGGCTTTACGTACATGCATTCCATGTGGACTGCATCCAGAACACTATAGTAAGCGGTGTCTGCAGTATCTGAGAACCCGTGCGCTAGGATCAACAGCCTTTCAGATCCAATGATTGCACCATATGGCACATGGTTTCGCTCAGGTACTCGCATATCGAACTATCCATCCTTGTTCAAACAAGGAAGTGTGGACTATGACGGTTTTTACCTCTTTTCTTCCTTGTGCCTTTTTTTCTTTTCTTTTCTTTTTTTTTTCTTCCTTTCACTTTTCCGTATGGCGCTATAAACTACTTTGTAGTTGAAAAGAGAAGGGGGGGGGGGGATAATGGAAAGAACATTAATGTCTCCTGATTGTTTTGAGGCAATTTGTCCGTATCGCATACGGATCTTCGTCCTATTGGACAGTTCAAACATCTAGGCCACACTTCATTGGATTTTTCCAATACCCAACCGGAATAAAAGGGCTAGCAGTATCTTCTCACATGTACCCACCATATTTTTCTCAACGGTCATCAACAACGGTAACAAATATTGTGGCGACCGAAAATTAAAACAATAGAAGGCGGGGCAACAATGGCGGGGAATAGACGAAGTCGATGATGAACAAGAAACGTATACGAATACCTCATAGTACTCAAGTGGGAAACCCATTAGGTGCTAGATTCTGCATAATAATATGACATGTCCTGGATCCAGCTGTGGACCGTTTTATCGACGAATAAACATAGTTCCACTGTTGCGGACGATCCATTTTCGACATTCAATCACATCAATTCGATCAACACCGGAGACGAATTCCCACTCCCTGTCCCGGGGATCGTCTTCATTCCTGCCTTACGAAAAGTTTTCCCAAAATAAAAGACTTCTAGACTCTCTTCCAGACCAATGTTTCCAAGAAGGTCCACGGTGGGCCGTCATTATTCATCAACCAAGTCCGTTCTTGCCCGCACTCTAGATTTTATCTTTCTGTTGTCTGGAGAGTAGTATGACATTGTTCTCGGCTGTTCAGCTTGGTCTTCGGCAGCCTCACTTTGCGCTGCGCGACTTGTTCATTCCAATCCAAATTAGTTCATACTGTAGGTAGCCGCATGGGGCAGGAGACCACTACAATGAAATAAAAACGCCGATGCGGTGCTTCATGCAGCTGGAGGGTGATTGCAGAAATGTCGCAGGTACCTGATTTGGCCATGCGCACATTGAGTCATTTCACAAAAGCAAATCTTGGCTAAGAATGGTATGTGGGAGGGAGAGAGAGAGAGAGAGAAGGTGATGTGCAAAAAAGCAAAGACCATACTACTTGATGCAGAATGGAGGCGGGGAGCATCACGAGTGAGGGTTCACATGCCGTATTACTCGATTGGGACAATCATGGGATTATCTACCGGAGCTCTTTCGTACTGACAACGGAGTCTTTCACTTAACTAACTAGTCAATCCTTCTCGAGTCTATGGCTAGGCTGAATATTACTATACGTGTTCCCCAGTGTTCATTCTGCATCTGCATGCGGCCATTTTGGCACTGTCATCATACCGCAGTTTAATATCGCAATAGCACGGAATTTAATCTTCAAATAAACTTACACGAACGAAGCACAGCTTTAACCCTACTATAACCACTTTGGAACAGATGAGCAATCACAAGAGTTAAACCCATCCGTCCTCTCTCTCTCTCTTTTTTTTTTTTTTTTTTTTTCTGGGCGAGTAAGGATACTATATGTAAACGAGGATAGCGAATTCGGTAGTCTTGATCGGACAGCTCACTTCTGTCTGGATATCCAAAGCCACTCAACAGACCACGATTGATACTTGGCTGGCGTGAACATCTCGTCATCAATGAACGTACATTAGTAGATTTGACAAGCTGCGAAGTTTCGTTGAGACTAGATGATTGTCGTTCTGGACTGCAAGGTCAAGCTCTTTCTTTACGTTTTCTTTTATCTCAAACTTTATCTTTTAATAATAGCCACAACCATCTCTCGACGAATGAGCAAAGATTAGTATTAAAGTAATTCTCAAGTAGAAAGGCAGTTTCTGGTGGCCGAAACCCACAAAGTGAAATGACTTAGATATTACCCCAGCGATATCTAAGCAAAGAAATCAACTGCATGGGTTAGAAGATCATGTTAGTAGCAAGGACTATGGCTAGAGGGCATACAGTACTAGATAGTAGAGGCTAAGCTTTGGATTATGACTAGCCAGCACATAGACCAGTGTATATCAGCTGAGGGAGAGGTAGGTACAAGAAGCATAGTTTTACCAAAACAGTGAAAAGTAAAACGAACGAGAGGCAATCGACGATGGCAAAAGACGAATGCGGATTGACCTCTCAAAATAACCTCCTGCTACTCCCTTACAGGATAATTATGCAATCCCTTTGGGGGCCTGAGTACGAATCTCAGCCTTGTCGTTTTTTGATGCTTTGACCACTTTTTTTTAATTGCATGTACGGAGTAGACTGGGCAGGCTTGTTGAACAGTGTAGGGAACTGCCCTGGTCGAGCAAAACAGACCGTCGCTATAAACCTACTGAACGACGTATGTACTTAGACAAAGGGACTGTAGTAGAAATTCGTTATTTTATCCTGGGTATCACAATATAATACAAGTATCTAAGCAACACAGCCTCCTGGGTTCCTGTTGCTTGTTTATCATTTATCAACTTCCATAGGATCGCCCGTTCCAGTTTCCGTTGCTGCTGTAGGTGCAGGTGCAGGTGTAGGTGTAGTAGCTGCAGCTGCAGCTGGAGTAGACGCGTTGGTAGTACAGTCAGAAGTTTTTATCTCACCTGCTTTATCCTTGTTGCCCTCGGCAGGCTCACCATCACCATTGCTGTCCTTCTTCTCACTCACTTTCTCCGGCGGCGGAGCCTTCGGATCCAGAAAGCGCTCGGGGACACCCCGTGCAGCAACCCCGGCGGGGCCCACGTAGCATCCGAGCATAGTGCTCCAGGCGTACTTCTGAGCGACGGTATTTCGGATTTCATTGTATGCGTATGCATTCGCAAAAGGAAGAGCTGTTTCGGGGTCCCGATAGCGCGACGGAAGGGATGTGATGACGCAGAGTGACGAAGAAATCTCTATTCAGGATGTAAGCAAACTTTGGAAATAAGATGGATAGAAAACGGG